TGATAAAGAATCCATCTACTAAATTTGATCGTAATCGGTCCATTCGTTCTCGAGATATCGTACTAACGGACGGACAGACGGACAGACACCGCAAAATTATAAACTCGCTAGGAGCTCGTTAATAATAATTATAGTCAATACACTATTAAAAATAGATGCTATGGAAAACAATAAATAAACAAAATACTGCTGTTTATTGTTGACGGCCTCAAATGAAACTTGGATTTAATATTTGGTGTGGAATTATTGGATCGCAAATTCTTGGACCTTTAATTTACGATGATAATTGGACAGGCCAACGTTATCTTTATTTTCTAACAAATGAATTTCAAGATATGTAGGATGGGTTAGATTTGGAAACTACAAGTACAAGAGCACCAACTATTTCCGAAGTCATGGATAGGTAGGAACGGGTCGGCCCTTTGGTCACCAAGATCGCCAGGTCTTTCAATTTTAGATTTTTCCTTTTCGGTGTTCTAAAAGGGTTTAATATATCAGCGAAATTATGCGACCAGAGACTACCTGTGGTAAATGCCTTTCGCAATTTAGATGGTAGGATAATACGGAAAGCTGTAAATTCTATTGCGAAAAGATGCCGCTTGTGTGTAAATATTAATGATGGGCACTTTGAACATTTACCGAAATAAATTTATTTTTTTTACATGTAACTACTTCAAAGTAGAAATTTAAATGTAATATTTCGTAATTTTTTGTTGTTGTTCTATTTGTGGCCTTAAAGTTTTAAGTTAAACATTATGATTATGGGTAATTAAGCCTACTACACCGTACCGTAGCATGACCGTACTATGAACGTATCAGGCACGGAAAATAACAAAGACTACTATCAACAGCGTATCATACCCGTGCGTAACGGTTGGGACCGGAGTATCCGCGTATCATCCGCGGGTCCTATCGGTATGGTTCCCGTGGTCTTGGTTCTAGTAGTAGTAGATCACCTAGTGCGGGTGGAACAGACGGGTCAGGAAGAACGAGCGAATTAATACTGTTGTTATATTTATACGATTACTATTAGAAAACTGTCCGTAAAGAGAATTGCCAAATGATAGCCATCATACGCGGTTATAACCCGTATGCTCACCATTTCTGCGCCTGCGCGCACCGGTTTGACACCGTCGCGTGCCACGCACGGAGCGTATCGGCACCGGCAAAATATTCGTTGACGCAATGACGCTCCGTGCATGGCACATGACGGTGCTGGTCGGTGACAAAACGGTCTAGTGGGCATAGTCTCATACTATTCCATACAAACAATATTGTTTTACCTGGCACGTTTCTATTACGGTCATGGTATGATACGTTGTAGTGGGTAGAGACCTTTAACCTTATATCACTGTAAAAAGAAAAAAATGCACTTTTTAAAAATGCCACAGGCAATTATAGTTGCCATTTAAAAAAATGTAAGTTCGAGTTATAACTAGAAAGTTATAAAAGAAAAAGAAAAATTAATAAATCTTATGAAGTGGAAAAATCTACAGTTTTTGTTCTTTGCATATTTCTGTATTTATAATACTAACAATTTTACAACATTTAAAAGAAAAATCACTAAATCTGTTTATCGCTAATATCTATCTAGTAAACTGTGGATGTTTTCAAAAAACAAGAGCATATCTTGAATAAGCTCTTAAAACGACAACTCTTTCCTCATTTAACCGAATCTCTATGTCTTACGGTTTCCGAGATCCTAATGCCATTGACTAATACCTTTAGTCAACGCTAATGCTTAAAATGAAAAAAAAAACTCACCCTGCAGTAGAGGTATGAACCGGCGCATAAGTGTATACAGCCTACCTTCACTTCTAGGAAAAATCAAGCGTTCAGATTTAGATACAAGCGAATTCAAGATGGTCGACCATCTAATGCTGAAAGTGTCATCAGGGGAAGAGTTCGTAGAGGCGAAAGAAACAATTGGAATATAGCACAAAATTTACTAAACGCGGAAGGTCATGAAAGTGCCCACTGAATATTGAGAAATTAAACTATTCATTCACACTGTTAATAAAAAAAAAAACTTTTCTTCTCTTGTATTCTCTGTTTCTTATTTCTACCTTCACCGTTTCACCTGTGGGTCCTTAAATAACTACTTTTGAAATTATATTCGTTATGGCTGGCTGTCCGGCTGAAATAGTTTTCTGCTATAGTGTAGATGTCTATTTTCAGTTAAATTACTCGTGAGATCAATCATTTTAAACTTTGCTAATAAAATACTGATCTGTATTACCAAAATGCGCTTTCATCATGCATATGCTGATTTTTGTTTTATACAAATACATTATTTAGGTAGGTTGACGCCTCATGCTAAGTGTTGATATTTTGGAATAAGAAACTTGAGTCAAAATCACAATTTTGTATTTAATATTGTTGTGTAAACTACGTCCTGTGAACGTTTATATTCTATTCAGCACCTATAGCAATGCTGGGCCACACTGTTTGTATGTATGTGTTTAATTTCATATCACAGAACAACGGATTTCGATTCCTATTGGTCTAGACCCGTGTGAAGTTAGCAGCCAGAATATAGCAGCCGAAATCGAACGATTGACCAGTAGCGCCGTTTACCCTAAAAAACAAATTTGCGCCTGCACTCTCGCATAGCATCAATTTTCCAGCAGCTAAACTAAAGTTCATTTTAGACCTCTCTTACGACCAATATAAAGCTATTCAAAAAGTCCAACATAAAACAATAAAACTAACATTTAGAAAACAGTTTGAATTTAGCCTTAGCGTCTTTAAAAAATTGATTACTGCGAATAGCCTTATACCTGTTAGAACGTGAAACAAGAGAAACAACGAAGTTGAGGTAACCCTTATGTGCTCGAGTTTCTGTGGTCTGTCTGTCTGTCTGTGCCATCGAGATCTCGGCCCCTGGGAAACTTAGCCTTTGGGTTTTCGCTATGCTATGGTCTATGGACCACCACCCATGAGTGGGTTTTGAAACAATGTTTAAGTACTACGCTATATGAATTTTATTATATCCTATGGTATGGGAGTAGAATTCACACTGTCAGAGGGGCAGAGTGATCAATTTTTAACGATGTATACTGTTGCTAAATTCAAATGTAAATTTAAATTTAAATGTGAAATTTTTTGCGAAGTATTTTTTATTGTTTTTTGTTGTTCTTTTTAAATAGCTTTATATGGGTAGATCTAAAATGAATTTTGGTTTAGCTGCTGGAAACTTGCTGCTATTCGAGAGTGCATGCGCAAATTTGTTTTTTTATGATAAACGGCGCTACCGATCGTTCGTTCGTTTTCGGCATTTTGGCTGCTATGAAATGCCGAAAACCTGTATGTATAATGGGGGTTTACAGTATAGGTGAATACCGTACCTAGTTCTAATTTAATAAGCGTGTACCTGAAACCATAAAACATTTTTTTGGGCAGTAAAAGATTATTTAAAAATAGCGGCTGACTAGCAAAAAAATAATGAACATGTGCGGTTTTAAGGGTTTATTCAAAACGATATGATTGTGGCGGGCTCTGTGACGTAATAAGCCCGACCAATCAGCCCCTAGAACCATTCAGATGACATAACGAATTGGCAATATAGCATATATTTTTATTCTATTTTAGATTATAATCCTTTTTATGTCTTACTAACCTATCATAGCACATTTTATATCTGTGATACGCGGGCATAAAGTACCACTTTATGCCCTAGAGCATTACGTATCACCATAGTAACTCATTTATACTTAATGACAAAACAAACAAATATTTGCAGGTCATTGAAAATTAGAAACGTCAATTATGAATTGTCAATACCTACTAAATCACAAGACTGGCCTTATTTCGTATAATTTCTGGGACTTCTTGCTCATTCACGATGAATTGAATTATTTAAAATTACGTTTGACGTTTGGATGGTTTCAATCACATTAACAAATTCGAACTACGCATACTCGATCAAACGCATAATGAATTATTTTGTAAACGAATTTTGACGAAGGAAACTATTTGTAAAACATAAAATTGTGTATGTACCACGCGCATAAACTGATGTTTATACTCTCGGGCGACTAAAAAGCTCTCGGGCCGTCGCCCTCGAGAATATAAACATCACTATTATGCCCTTAATACATAAATAACTATTATAAGCACCTAAATGAGGGTATTAATTGGACTTTATGGCACAGAACTGTCAAAAATTGCCTAGCAACGATACTACCACTCGCAAAACTTGCTGTATTCTTTTTCATATAGATCTTTGGATTTATGAGGAACCACTTTACTTTGTGCGATTTCGAATTCACGTAATATTTCGTCAGTATAAACGTTTTCCATTTCAGCTACACTCATTTCCAACAGCGAATTGTTTGAAGTAAAGGTAAAGTAAACGCAGTCTCAGTATCCATAGCAACACAAAAAACGCCAACTATCTACACCACTCATATTTGGTTAGCGACAAATTCCTGCAAGAACTACTAATCCCTTTTAACTTTTTAGAAATTAGAATAAAACGTTGTATGTACCACGGGCATAATCGATTATGGCCCTCGAGAAATTAAAAGCCCTCCTTCGTCGGGCTTTAAACATTCTCTCGTGCCATAATCTTTTGATTATGCCCTTAATACATAACTAACTAATATATATTTGTAATTTGCGTCACCTGTCACAGGCACTTGTCACTTGTCGCTCACTTTCGCGTTAGATGCAGTTAAACAGCCCTCTTAAAACGTCAAATCCGACAAACGTCAGACCCTCGCACAAGGTTGCCGGCTCACTTCTACGTGATTGGTTGTAGGTTTGTGACGTATTTAGACCGAAGCGTTTCAAATTCGGACTAAAAGCACAGCTTTTCAATAATTTATTTTGGGTTTATTTTACTCGCAAATAAAAATTGAGGACACACGGGTCTTTTTATTTTTAATGTACTTTGTAGATCAGAAAAAAAAATGAAGGCGGGATGCCCCCATTGTAATGAGTAATGTGCTATTAAAATTATGCCGTAAGGGGTGCATTATTTAGTTAGCAACACTAACCTGACATATCCTGCTGTCATCGCTACAATTGGCATGAAAAGAAGTTGAATTGTTATGGAGATCTAGGCATTTCTCGTTATCAGTCATAGTATTGCATCTGTAGCAAACAAGTGTGGGCAACTTTTCGGTTGCGGCCTTAGTACGGTGCTCACTATCTGTTAACTCCCCTGCGTATGCTGCAATCAATACACAACAGTTACCATAGCAACGAGAATGAGTAACTTATGCCACTTTTATTTTCCAAATTATAATGAGTAGCTGTTTAGTAGGTTTAGGTTTACAGTTATTTATTAAAATAGGACATACCGTAAAGCATCTCGAAAGCGCTCATAATTAATATACACACATATACACCATATTTAACGATCATAGTGGTTAATTACGGAGGAACTCTCACAAACATTATAGAATTATTTATTTATCTATTTCTAAAATTGTCATTCCCAGTTATAGTGGTTACTTATACTAAAACGGTGCAGAATTCGCAGCGCCATTTTCACGATAGAGCGCAGGACTGTCACAGTTTACCGTTGTTCCATGGTTACGAAAATCGGGTAGCATCTATGTTTGGCCCTATTGAGTGAGTTTTTAATAGAACGCATAAAATAGCTGATGGAATGTATAACCTTCAGAGTTTAGAATATCTTCGCAAGCGCAGAAATGAGAAAATAAAAGAGGAGTAACGTAAGGAAAGACGTGTACTATCGTTTTTTTGTTTCCGTGATACTGCATGCACAGGGTTTGATCAAGCTGCGGGAAGTTCAATAACAGTTAGATATATCTGTACCTAACTGTACTCGGTATCATTATTCAAAGGTATCATTCTTTTAATCCTCTTTTGCCATATGTAGGAATCATGTTCATTGTTTCGTTTTCATTAAACTTGTGCAGTGATCAGTGAAATAGGAATTTAGCCGAGGGAGAGTTATTTCCTTTCGCCTGCAAACTAAATTGAAATATTCAATGTACATATGAAATGAGACCTTAAATTTACATTTTATATTTACAGAAACCAGAGATATATGGGTATGCTCAATATTATTGTGATTTACATCAAAGCAATATGTACCTATCTAAGTCCTCAACTAGTACCGCATACATACAAATAAAATAACAATGAAATTATGTAAATAGCATTCTAAAAATAAAAATATCTAATCTTTAATATTAACGTCAGCTTATCATATTTGTGCTCTAAAGTTGTATATTGGGCAAAATAGTCCAACTTACAAAAACACCTTGCAATGGTTATGAAAAGTATAGGTACCGTTATCAATCAAAACGGATAAGATCCTATATATAAGATAACTTGTGATGAACAAACGCACAACGTCTGTGATTATCGCAAGTTGTGAGCGTCGATGCAATTCGATCGTAGGTATATTTTGCCGTCTAAATTATACATTATAGTGTGTCCAAGAATGAACAGCATGGAGAAATCGGAAACCATAAGAGATACTATATACACAGTCGATTAATTAGAAAAAAGTTGCGTAGTAAAATGCTAATCAACTCAGTATGTACTTCTTCCCCGGTTTATATAAAAATGCGAAGTTCATGATGGCTTCTCAAAGACGAAACGTCGCGCTGAAAATCAGTGGGCACCATCTTGTAGAGCTTAAAAAGTTTATTGTTTTATTTATTTATTTATTTTATTTTATTCTTGATATCTTTACAAACAAGGCCAGAAAAAAATAAAAACGAATATAGGTCATTTAAGTTTTTTTGATGATCGGAATTTCCAGATTTAACTAAGCCCTAAAATAGGCAACTTTTTTTCCTGATTAACCGACTGTCTAAATCTCTTATGGTTTTTGATTTCTCCATGCTGTTCTTTCTTGTCTTGGATACACTCATGGTATAATAAAAAGATACACTGTTTAACTTGAAATCTCGTATTTTAATACCTACGTCCTGTTTAGGTACTTACTTATAATATATCAACACTTATTCGGTTTAATAACTTCGGAGTAAATACCGGTCATGTACTTGAACTAGGTATTGGTTCATTTTACCTCGACTAGCTCAGAGAGGTTTTAACTCTCTTATATGGAATAGTAATCAAACATGTAACAGTTAGCTAAAAACCGAATTGCCCCCTCGTATAGCTTTGATTTTATATTCTTTAATAAAAAATATATCATTTTGTTTTCGCTGATGGTTTTCTCAAAATTCACAGTAAGATATCCACATCCACCACCGAAACAAAAAATTTGTTTTGCGCATGCGCAATCCATTATTTAAAATTTGCCAAGATATTTAAATGAAATTTCGAATGTACCTAGACACCTCAAGTAAAAGTAAAGCTAATGCCGAATCAAAACATGTAGGTAGGTATTTTGCGCATGCGCAATCCGATTTTTTTAAATGAAATTTTGTGTGTTGACACCTCGAATAAAAGTAGTTCTAGTGTTCGCATACTCAAACAATGTCTTTATCCGAAAACAAGCCACGTCAGGGCGCGAGCCTCGATTCAAAAACTCGACGCTAACCAAGATGCCGCAGGTGGCATCCATTGAATCGCACAAGCAAAAAATGAAAAAGTACCTGTATTTGAATAACAGGCTGGAATTCCTTATAAACAACTATGCTTGTCAGTATTGAGCCCTTTTCGATTCATCATTGAAAATACCATTACAAACTGCCGCCTTCAAATATCAATTTCCTGCCGTGGAAAGTATTTACTTTTCACTCTTGACTTATACACTTAAATCTTTTATTGATTAATAAGATAACGTTTATTCCTTTTACAGGTCCAATGCCTAATTTTTTTGTTAGTTTCACATAGGCTATGTATTTGAAATATTTACAACGACGAATGCTCAGAAAAACGAAAAACAAGAAATATCTTCTTGCTTATTGTTTCCCGTGCAAATCAATATAAAATGCAGATTTCCCGATTTCTTTTACGTCTCTCGCTTTCGATGAAACCGGGAATGTATGTACTATCAGATAGCTAATGTGGAAAATGAAAGGGAAGGGAGATTTTGTTAATCGGTAGAAATCTGACTATGGAGCCAGAATGGGATTTAGTGAAAGTGCATTGAAAGGTGCGGGCAAATTTGATGTCATGATTTGATCATTGTAATTACTCTCTTGATAGAACCAAGCTCGTGATACCTCATACCATACCACGTATGGAGGATTGAATTGAACGTTTGCCAAGTAGAACTACTCATATTTAACAATGGATAAATTAAACGCTTTAACTTTGTAAAGTGACTGTATGTTTTAATCAGGATATTGGTTAAAAGCAGTGAGTAATTATTACTCACTACTGACACCTTGTAATTTGTGACGTGAGTTAAATGGCACTGCTTTTTTTTTTAACCCGCCGCATAAACGGCCAAATAGTTCAGGGGTGATAACGTATAAGAGGGCCCATTAGGGTATATAAATTCGTAGTAAGATTCCTCGTGCTTTTCTAAAAAGTTGAGCGCCACCAAGTTTCTTTAAATGATTGGAACTTTCGCGTATGAAATAGGGAAGTATAGAAGGAAAGCAATAAAACACAATTTCCCGCAACAAAGTAATCCAGTGATTTACCTATTTAAAATTAACGAAAGTGCCAAAAAATCAGTAATAATTACCAGTCAACTTTACAAAATTAAACTTGACATCCCTATTTAATTCGTCATTAATTACGTTAAGTTACGGGTTTACACAAAAATCCATGAAATGTAAAATTATTATCACAAAATGGCGTCGATAATGAAAGTAAAAGTATCCCATAAAATCATGATAACCATCCTATCTTTAATCAAGAAATAGCCAGCATAGGAAGATAACTCTGTTCCGACGCTTCCAGCAATTCACGCGAAAACAAACAAAAGACAAACAAGAAAAACAGGAACCCGATTACCTAAATCCACTCGGTCATTGAAATGATGGCTGCTTGAGGAGCCAAAATACTTGACATATTCCGATCAACTGCGTTAATTGACGTGTTGCAATCCATGAAAGAGAAGGTAAACTCACATTTGTACACCACCAAAATCAATTCGATTATGCATCAATAAATAAGTACAAAGATTTTCGAAATGTAAAAAAATTAACATTGGTGTAATACCTTGAAAAGGA